ACAGCACGGAGTTGTTAAATTACAGCCTAACCGGGGCAGAGCAGGAGGTCCGAGGCCAGTGGGTTCAACTCCTCGCTCTGTTCCAGAACTCCAGTTCGCACCGCTCCCGGGCTCCAACCCGCACCGCTCCCAGGCTCAAACTCGCCCCGCTCCTGTCCCGCACCGCTCCTGTCCCGCACCGCTCCCGGGCTCAAACTCGCCCCGCTCCTGTCCCGCACCGCTCCCGGGCTCCAACTCGCCCCGCTCCGGTTCGGTCTCTACCGCGCGTGTTTCCCGTCCCGCACCATCTCGGCCGGACGAAGCCCCCGGCCGGGCACGGCGCGGCCCGGGCAGTCCCCCCCGTCCCCCCCCCGTTTTGTTTCGGGGCCCCGGGGGTCGCGCCGAGCGAGACCCGCAGCGCCGGGATCCCCCGTGCCGCGGTGCGGGCGGAGCGCGGCTCCCCGAGCCTCACCTCGCTCCAGCGCGGTGCGGAGCCCCGGCCGGCCCTGCGCATCTTGCGTGCCCGCGGAGCAACTCCGGTGGGCGGGCTGGGGGGCTCGGTGGTTTTAATGTTTCTGCAGCTGCTGCTCTCCACCCTTTTCCGACCCTCCTTTCTAACTCCTCCCTGCTGCGTGCGGGACCTGCACGCCCAGCCCAGCCGCCGCCCCGCCCCGCCCGGCCTGAGCACGGCGGGCGCTGCTGCGAAGTGCTCCCCCCCGGGACCCCCCGGCCCTGCCCGGCCGGAGGAGGAGGGGAAGGGGACGCCGCGGTCGCGCCCCAGCCGTGCCCGCCCCGGGAGCGGCCGCCGCCCGGCGCTCCGGGCGAGGAGGAGCCGGCAGGGCCCGGCCGGCTCTGAGCGCGGTCCCTACGCCTCGGGGATGCGGGGGCAGATTCCCGACCCTCCGGCTTTCTTTACCCCCGACTAGGCACAGCAGGGCTATGGCCATATGCCACCTCCGTCCTGCCTCTCACAGGACCTGGGAAAGGAAACACCTGGAAGAGGCTTTTCCATTTTCCCACTTCACCAAGGTGTGTTTTTGCCCTGGCAGGCCCGGTGGCTGCCACCCGCACCTGCAGCCTCCTGCGGCGCTGGGTGACTCACGAGTGGCTCCCCCCGGGCAGGCACCAGCCCGATGGGGCAAGGATGGTGTCAGGCTGCACACCGGAGAGGCAGAAGCCAGCACTGACCTACGGGGGATAAGCTCACTTTCTGCCACTGTCAAACAGCACCAGGTGTTGTTGTTTTCACATTAAAAAAAAAAATCTATGCATGTTCAGAGGATGCTGTAAAATACCTACATGTTTGAAAATACGAAGAGAAGTTTTAAATTCATTTTTTTTAAAAACAAAATTGGCAATGGCAACTACTTACAGTGGTAACAGAGTTATTACACAGAGACAGAGAAAGAAGTGAGTTTAGGTTTTATAATTCCTTCTCTCTTCAAACTTTTAAAAGAAAAAGCACCTTGGTGTACGTGAAATGCTAACTCTGGTGGTAATCTATCGTTGCACTTACTGCAGAAATTTTCTTGTTCCTTCCTCTGTTCTTGTTAACTCCAAATTGAAATGCAAACAATACACCAGAGCTCAATACATCAGGTCTTTCAGTTCATAGCATCACACTGGTCAATTAGCAGCAGCAGTTGTTATGGGGAAGCAGCTTTCCTCTGAAAGACAGTAAGAGTACTCTACCCTCAGGAAGAGGGTAGAGGGTCCCTCTCTTATTTATGCTAATAGTCACGCTTCAATTGTTCCACGCCTCTCCCAGAATGACTCAGATAAATTACACTGGCAAACAGACATTAACTCTTCCACCACAAAGCTAGAAACTTGAAAAGATGTTTAGCCTCCTGAGAGCCTGGAGGAAAATACAGCCGTTAAGTTACAACTGTCAGAAAAGGCATGTGAAATAAATCATGCTTGAGGCTGACATATGCATCCCCTGCAACTGCCTGACATACCCTAGATATTTCAAGCTTTCCCCCTTGTTTAGCTAATATGTAGAAAATACTAAATAAAAGTGCATTCACTGGGCATTTCCCTCTAGGAAGTAATTCCCACCTAATTTTAAGCAAGAGGAACATATTAAAGGAACATGCTTTAATTAAAGGTTAGAATGACTCAGGGTTTCATTAGTCTGATGTACAGGCTTTCATTTTGGGGCTACTGGTTACCAACTGAGAGAACTCCAATTCAGAGATGTTACATTCAACAAATTAATTTTCAGAGGCTGTGTAAAATCATAGAATCATAGAATGGTTTGGGTTGGAATGGACCACAAAGATCATCTTGTTCCAACTCCCCTGCCATGGGCAGGGACACCCCACTAGGCCAGGATGCTCAAAGCCCCATCCAACCTGGCCTTGAACACTGTTGTGGCCAGAACAGCACTGGCAAGCTGTTCCAGGGCCTCACCACCCTCAGAGTAATGAATTTCTTACTAATATCTAATCTAAATGTTTGAAGGCATTCTCTCTTGTCTTGTCACTACATGCTCTTGCAAAAAGTCCCTCTTCCAGCTTTCCTGTAGGCCCCCTTTAGGTACTGAAGGGCCACAATAAACTAACCCTGGAGCCTTCTCTTCTCCAGGCTGAACAAACCCAACTTTCTCAGCCTTCCCTCATAAGAGAGGTGCTCCAGCCCTGTGATCATCTTTGTGGCCTCCTCTGGACCTGCTCCAACAGGTCAATGTCCTTCCTGTGCCGGGGACCTTAGACCTGGACACATTACTCCAGGTGGGGTCTCACCAGAGCGGAGTTGAGGGGCAGAATCCCCTCTCTCAGTGCTGGCCACGCTGCTTTTGATGCAGCCCAGGACACGTTTCACTTTCTGGGCTGCAAGCTCACATTGCTGGGTCATATCCAGCCACTCATCCACCAGCATTCCCAAGTCCTTCTCCATCCCTGTGGGTTGCCCCACCCCAGGTGCAGCACTAGGTAAAATACACAGGCAATTTAAGTTCCAATTCAAAAGGCTGGGTATTTGTATCACAAAAAGTATCATTAAAATTAGATGACCACACGCATTTACAGCCCTCTTGACATCTCAACAGAGAAAACTGAAATACAGCTTCACTCTTCTCGGCCAAATGAAGCCAGATCAGCTGGATTTGCACTGAAAGCTGTCTAAATCCTCAGAGATGATAGGTTAACATGGCTCAAACTGCACAGGTTCTAGCCTCCTTGCCAGGGCTGAAACACAAGTAAACTCAGGTTGGTCCAGCCAACTCTACCAAAAGTGTAGTTGCTGCTAAGTGTTCAGCAAGGGGTTTACACCAGGGTTATACTCGATCCCCACCAACAGAACAAGCCATCAACAGAATGACAACTCTTTTTCTCAGTACCTCTCCAACTGCCAGGTCCACTGTTAAGGAAGCTTGTCATCATGGCTGGGCTTCGCGAATGAAGATTTGGGAAGGCTCTAACCACATTTGTTACAGGCACGTTGGTGACTTATGAGGCCAATACGTGACAGACGTATCCGATTGCAAAAGGCACAGTAGAAAGACTCTTTAGATGGTATATTCTGCAGAACACGATTCTTTCTGCGTTGCCTTTTCTCCTCGAGAGTGATCCTGCGTGTGTTCTCAAAGGAGACAGCTGCGTTATAGATGGTGTTTCTCCAGGCCTCCCGATTTGAGGCCAGAGTAGACCAGTTATGGTGATCAATATGGCCAAGGCTGAGATGTTGTTATGGGTTATAAATTGATTTATAACCCATTGATTTATATATAATGGACCCATTTATATATAGTGGACCCATTATAAATCGGTCCAACAGGAAGCTTGTACTTCTGTGAAATACATACAGAAATCCAGTGTATATTCAGCTCCTGTGAGAACTCGACTTGGAATTGCCTACGGTCGGAATAAGGAGAAAGAACAACACAATGTTATTCATGCAGCATTTCAGAAATAACCAGAATGCAGGTCTCAGTCAAATGCCAGCAGAAGAGCTGCACACATCAGAACACTGAACTGACACGTAACAGCCACTTCACCTGGGTAAACTGGTTAAAAAACTGTTTTGCAACATGTCCACAAACATAAAGAGGCAAAGGCATTTGGTCACAGAGATCCTGAGTATGTATATGCTCCCAGGTACTTGAGTTTTTAGGATGAGCAGAAACTCATGTTTTAGAGCACAGCAACAAGAACATAACACCAACTGCCTGTGACAATCAAACTTGTGGAATTTCCAATGACAGCTTAGTGTAGTGAGGATTGCAGAAGCAGGGCTAGTCACAGGGCAATTTCCTTGCGGGAAAATGCTTTGATCGTGTCAGAAAAGAAGTTGTAAGCTGGGGTCCGCCCAACGCCTGCATACCAAGACTGGTGGCCTCTGACACCACCAGGAGACCATACTCTCCCAGTGCTAATGCTGCTGGACAACTCACAATTGCATCAGAGGAGTGTCTGAACACTATCCATCTGGAAAAGACAGTGAAAATCTCTGCAAGACAGATTAGCAAAGGATTTGTCTCCAACACATCATTCTTTTGTACCTTCAAAAATCTTTATCCATATAAGCAAAATGTACTTTTAATCATTCTGACACTATTTAGACCCCAAAGAGAGCCATTCCTCCCTAAGTGCTGGGTCACGAACAGGGATCCTTAAAACAGTACCAAGAGAGCAAGTCTGATCACCAAGAAAGTATCCAGAGTGGCCTCCAGAATCCCCCAAAATTCTCATGACTACAAGAAATATAAAAAACAGTGAAAAGGTCAGATTCATATTTCTGATGCAATATCTGAACAAATATTCCATATTTTGAATAATTTGTCAAAATTTCCATGCATTGTAGCATGCTCTTATATGCGCCATTAAGTAACTAATACTTTCCAAAATCTGTAAGCTAATTTGTTCATATTGGTTAAAATGACACCTTAAATGAAGTTACATGCAGGCAGAAGAAAATTATAACATTGTGAGATAACCTATACTGGGGGACTATACCACAAAGTTCAGAGAGAGCAGAAAAAAGGAAGCATTTCTGTATCTGTAAGAAAGCAACACAGAAAAGAGTAAATTAAATTATTTTATTAATTTGTTAACATAACAGTAAATACAAACCATTGATACTGATTCTTGAGTGATAATTCTTAGGTATTCTCTGAATATCTAAGAGAACAATTCGGATTTATTTTTCAGTTTAAAATGAATTAATGCTTCAGTTGCATCACTTTTGCAATCCAGAACAATCTGGTTTTAAATTATAGTTTTCACAGGGGATAGGTTAGATGAATTAATTTTCTGTTGATATTCATAGTGTTCAAAAATTCCTTATCTTCTTTCCTCAGATTAAAGTCAAAAACCTAGTTTGGAGAAAAAAAAAAGTGATGAGAACATTGCAAAGACTAAAGCACACATATTTCTTCAGTATGAGCATGCAGATGGCCTGTTTTTATGTTCTTGATATTGATCATTAATATTAATTAAATGTCCTTTTTTGTTTTAAAAAGCTAATGTAAAATGTTTACTACATTCATTTTGTGAGAATTTGTACTTTATTTTTTCACTATGATGAATACAACATTAGGAGAAGCTCAAGTCCAAAGGGAGAGAATTGAAGTAGCTGAGAAAGTGACATGCAATAGTTTGCATGGATATCATTGCACCCAAACTGTATCACACTGTAATATAGGGAGCAATTACTAAGAGGATGATACTACAAGGCAGTGCAAATACTTGGCCTTTTTTTTTTTTTTCAAAAGTACAGACATCTTATTGGACGCTACAAAAAGTGCCAAAAAATCAGGTATAGAAAAAGTCTCCCAGCACAGCAACACAAAAAATTGCTGGGTTGGCTTATCTGTAATTTTTATCCAATGCACAATAGTCAGAGATGAGCTTCAAAGCTTTGGAAGGGGTGTGGCAATGTGGAAAGAGTTAACTGCTTAGATTCAATCAGTACCAGCAAGAGCTATGCCACCTTTATCCCCATTTTCAAACACGTGGGTTAACCACGGTGCAAAAAATGGGGCCAATATTATGCAGTCTACCTGGCTCAGTGAATTTGTGAACTTACTAGCATTACAGTTTCTTTATTATACATGCTAGTCAGAAAATAATGCCTTGAAAGCCATGTTGGGGGACTGGTGTGATAGAAACACTTCTGCAGCCCAAATAAAAAAAAAAAAAATCTTGAATATGCACTTTAAAACCCCATTTCCATTATTTTCCAATGAAACATTCTTGGGTGCCTTTATCTCCAGTAATATAAAAGATGACAATCAGAAAGAAACAAGAAAAAAGAAGAGAGGGAGCCACTCATTAGGCAAGAAGCTACTTGGCTGCACTGAAAATGGTCTCACACTTTCCACTGAGTTTTAGTTTATATTTTTCTTTTCCTTATATGTTTCAAGAGACTCCTCTTCCATTAGGAATCACAGAGCTCCTGCAAAGGCAGCTGACTGCACTTAGGTAGATGGCACTGATAAATTGTATCTTATTTTAAATAATGGTTTATCTCAACTAAAAAGGAGTGCCCCAATCAGTCACTACCATAAACGACCTACGTGATACGGGAAAAAAAAAGTGACTCCAGTTTTCTGGTGTATTCCCTCATCCTATTGACAAGATGATGGGTTATGTGGATGAAATGGATGCATTGCTGTATCTTAAAAAGGGTCATTGCAGAAAGGTGAAAAAGTTTTTCCCTTTAGAGAAAGTTTGTTTTACAGAAATAAGAGCAAGAGGAGGAATTTCAACTCCGGGGAAGAATATGCATACAATTCCAAGAATTCACTTGAGGGACAAATTCTGAGTTCAAAATAAAACAAAACCTTAAAAAATGAGCACCTCCAGGCTAACTGAGCAAAGAATAAATAAAAAAAATGGAATTAAACTTCCTGATTTCATATGTTCAGCACTTTTATATCCTTTTGGCCTTCCATGTTCTGCTTCTATTACCAAACATCACTCCTCCCTGCTACCCCTAAATCTCGCTACTGTTCACTTGCTAATTTCTTATTAGTTGTCTTATTTCTTTGATCAATGTTGTCAGTACTTTAGAAAGGTTCATTTAGAGGAGGTGATGAGGACTTATTCTTTAGCAGCCTTAGCTTAAAATCTATTACCACAAGGCTTATGTCAATTTAGTTGTGGAGAGGAACATAAAATATGACTCTATTGATTCTGTCTTTCCCTCTGCAACCTCATCAAAAGTAAAAGAGGACTTACTCAATGATTCTTAATTAACAAACACAGTATAAAACTTGTGAATACCGTATTCAAAGGAAGAGGCTCCAGTGACTTATCTCAAGGACACAGGAGATAACAGGGTTCCAGTCTCCTAGGGCAATTAATAGCTTCTAGCAGAAAACAATGGCTCTTAGTGAGGCACAATGTGCAAAACTGCTCATCACACCTGGGAGAAAGATAGTTTGGGTCAGCTGAGTCCTGGCACTGAAAAAGTTTATTTTCGCCTTAAATTACACTTGACCTTGTACATAGTTAAAATTAAACTCTTCTGTAGTTCTAAAGCCACTGCTTGATAGCAAAGGAAGTGCTAGGAAAGATTACAAAATAATAATAATAATGAGAAAAAAAAAACACAGAAAAAAAGTCCTGAACCAACAACAGTTAGGAGTGAATACAGTTAGAAAAGTATCAGATTAAAACTGTAACTTGCCACAGCTATTCCTTAAGAATAATGCTTTTTTTAGTAATACTATTTCTGATTATTCCCTTCATTACTCACTGCACTGCTTAGATACCATGACCTAGATTAAGAAAATGGTGGCTTGACTTGCTAGCAAAAGCAGATGCAGACACAAAAAACCACTCTAAAATCTCTTGGACAGAAGGAACAGTGAAATATATTAATGAATTCAAAGCCATCCTCACTGTAGCCTAAAGTCACCTCTGTGGGGCATTTCCAAGAAAATCTGTTTTAATTCCATTTAGCTCAGAACAAGGGAGGTCATCAGTCAGAATTAACGGCAAAAACCCCAGAACTGTTATAACTAACATGGGACTTCTAGCCACATAACTAGGCCTAACTGATCCTGGTCTGGTAATACTGGAGCTAGAATTTGCTAGCATATATAAAGATTTAGTATGAATCATTCATGTTGGGAGTAGTATGTTGATGTGATGTCTGTTTCTTCAGAGAGAACTGGAGGTGAAACTCAGACTTATCTTTTGTAATTTCTGAAAGTCTTCGCTACCAAAAAAGCCACACTGAGTGAGTATTAGGCACGACTCACTTCTAGTCCTCATTTTATGAATTCAGATACACTGTAAAGCAAGGACTCCCTCAACAGCACAGTTTGAATTTTTTTCCATATTGCTAAGGTGTTGTTCAATAAAGTGACTTTTTAATAGTATTAGCTGATAGCCACTGGTAGAAAGGTTTATTTCTGGACAATCTTTCCAACTTTCACTTAGTCATTGCCATCATTTTCTGCAAAAGCTTAAAAAAGCCAAGAATTACCTTAGTTTTATAAATGAGCCTTACTTTTTGGAACTATTGAACCCCTCATCACAACAGTTAAGCCAGGTACGTAGCTGTTCTTAGACACCTGAAGTGGCATTCCTGGACTGCAGGCCAAGCTTGAAACTCCAGAAAACAGCCTTACTGGAGAGGTTGTGTATCCTTCTCAGAACATTACACTGTACAGGTATTAGTAAGCAGCATTTAATATTTTCTTAAAAATAATAAATAATATATTAATGGTTTCAGAGGCAAATCTAGACAAATTTTTATGGAAAAGTTTACTAGGAAAAACTAGCCAAATACTCTGAGGAGCTGTTATCAAAAAGGTAAGTTTGTCTGTATTTTAGCCAAGCTCTACTTTGAGGACATACAATGCAGGCTAGAGTATATGATTGCTGTAAGTCACTTCTTGATAAAAAAGCTGAGGAGCTTTGTTTCACAATAAGACTAAAGCAGAACAGCACTGGGAAAACTGCCTCAGGAAGTCCACATACAATATAAATCATAATCAGATTTTCCATACCTTTCTAGACGCAGAAACTCCTAAAATATCAAACCAAAGCAATTAGAAGTTGACTACTCAGCCAATAGACCATGCAGGCATATTTCTCAAAACAGATCTGTAAACTACAAGTATCTCTATTTATCTCTTTATATAGATAGCCATTTTATAAAAAAATGGCTATCTATATAAAGAACAGTACAGTCTGTTAATGAGATTTCCTGGACAAACCCAAAATGAAAGCTAAACTAATTCTCACAGAAAGCTCATCAGAATTTTCTGTAAGTAATAACAAAGATGCCTCTTTGGCTCTCAGAGCTCGCTGTTCAACTCAGCTGTGCAGATACTTTATTAGTAAATGGACTTCTCTGGAAAGATTTCTACTTTGTTGTATCTACAGGCTACTAAGTAATGTGCATAGAACTCTCTGAGTCAATGCCATATGCTTAAACCTTTTTTTTGTGATGCTCAGATATTGCATATTACAATATTGAGATTGTATTTTTGGTGGAGATTTGCAGTTTATTGTACAACATAAATACTGTTTTATGATACATTTTTTTCACCTGGCCTTTTCTTCTTTGTAGATTCTACCTCTAACAAAGTACTTGAAAAATTATTTCATACTTAACACCTTTGTTATACACTAGCAGGTAGCATTTTTTCCCTACATTTTTCAAGAAGGGATACCTCATCATGCTCTTTGATTAAATGGCCTGATGCAGGGTGGATGGTATAAACAAGAGTCTTTGCATAGGCTTCAGTGAACTAGGGAAGAGGATTTGAGATGGGAATATAAAATCTCTGTGAGGATAGTAAAAAAGTGCTATCCTCAAAAATATCTTTTCTGTGTTTTCAATGTTAAGGATTTCAAAATAGTTATCATTAATAGCAGACATTACTATCATGATTACATTCATACTGTAACCTTCCTTGAATTTAAATTACATGGTGTGACTCACTGATCACTGAGAAGGAAAAAGTTCAAACCTTCGTTCACTCAATAAGGCTTGGATCCCAGGAAACATGTCTCCCATCATGCATTCCATTCAGAATTCCAACATCGTCTTCTGCTATTGTAAAATCAAACACCTACGGGAATGTATGTATAGTTAACTTCATGAACACAGAGAGAATCAGCAAATTCTTCTTATATTTTGTCACAGAAAAACACTCTATTAAACTGACAGGCTTCACTGGGTTCTTTGCTCCCGAGTGATTCATTTTTATTTGTAGACTGTTAAGATGGTTTTGTAGCACTCTGGCCTCAGGCAAGGGTCCAAGACAAGAGTAGTATCAAAGCTGCTCTTTTTGACAAGACTGTATATTGTCACTGCTAGAGGAATAGGCATACCCTGACTGCAATCCCTTTGGGAACCTGAGCTCCGTATTTCACTTACATCCCAATGTTCAGTCTAGAATGTTACAGTTCTTTTCTTCAGACCTTTAGCCAAAAAAAATTATTAGAAAGTATCAGGACATTCACAAAGCTAGCACACCAAAGGCTGTATCTATCTTGTCTATGATTCTGCTTTGACAAAGCACTCATAGATCAGCTAATACAGAAACAGTGCTACAGTGCCTCAGTACTAACTCGAACTTGAAAGCAATCACCTGCCCTCATGCACAGGTTCTTACAGCCACTGCCTTCTCCTGTGCCGAGACCTGCAACATGGAATTACGGTGTCAGTGGTTTCTTAGCAGATGTCTTATTCAGACATTATCATCAGAAAGTTGTTTCTGTTGTCTTTGTCAGAGCTCCTCCATGTTCAATAAAAAGATCCTGTGGGTCCTGAACTGCTGCCAAATGAGCTCCTCCCATCCTGCATTATCCAGCAATCCCTGTCTGCTGGAATGACCCTTGTAGTCAAATCTCAGTGCTCACTTCAGCTTTTTAAACCTAAACCAGGGACCTGTCACACAACCAGAAACCTATATATTACATATTCAGGCATAAATGAGAACTGTACTTTCACCAACTTGACTAGAAGCGGTAGAGACTCAGGCCAACACACTGGCATGGGGAAAAGAAAGCAAATGTGATAAACAGCACTCGATAACTGTGCCATTTCCCTCCTCCTCTCCATCTTAAGTGTTTTAAGTTTTGCTGCAACACATTCCCTCAGTTGTGTGAAATTAATTGGTGGTGCAACAGAGTAAACTCTGTAAGAAATAAAATTAATCTGGATTTAAAATATCATTGGGGAAAATAAAATAAAAAGAATAAGGAAGGATTTTTAACATGGTTTTGTTCTCTGATCTGGTTCACACTACAGTACCACAAGCAGCTGTGCTTGTACCACAGAAGGCTGTGTGCATGTCAGAATAAATAATCAAGGCAGGAGCTATATAAACAGGCATGGCCACCAGCAGAAATCCTCATTAAATGTATACGTTTGCACCTACACACACACACACACAGTGATAAAAATAGGAGACAGAAGTTTCCTGTCTTGCAAAGTTTCCTCCTGATTTGCTAAACAGTGCATACCCCAATGATATTTTTGGAAGTAACAATAAAGTTGTTGTGGTTTCACCTCCCCCAAAGAAAGCACACTTTCAGATTAGAGAAATGGAGAGAAAAATCAAGTAATAAATTAAAACCATTTGGTATGAAAAGGAAATTAAAACAAGGCTGCGGGGGAGGAATCATGCTGCCAGTCCTCATTTGTGCCCTCTTTTCTTTGTCCATCCCCTTCATGCTGGGACCTTTTCTGCATGTTGAGTAGAAGGAAGAAGATAGGGGAAGAGCCAGCTCTGGCAAGACTGCGATTTCCTTGGAAGGTCTCCACCTCAGACAGATAACCCCAAGTGAGTTTTACAGCTTTCACATAGTGTTATGCACAGCTCCTTCCATTTGACCTGTGTACCTATCACAAAAAGGACTGAACCATAACCAGAGTAGGATGTTCTACAACCAGCAAAGTCATAAATAAAAATATTAATAATAAAAACCAACTACAAAAGGTCTTCTATGTATTTTTCTTTATACACAGCAATTAGCTCTCTGGTTGATTTCAGATATTTGTGAGTTACGGTTTTCTACTACATTGCAGTAACTTTATGGTACCATCATTTGCCAATTTTAACTGAGTTACACCAGTATAAAACTGGCATAGGAAAATGGGAAGTCAAGCCAAAGTATTGAAAACTGTTATTTGGCTGTAAATCAGACTTGAGTGCATAACCAAATCTCACCTTGCAGTTTTCCTCTATCCTTTCCGCTTTTGTTGACTTTGGAATAGTGACAATCCCATTCTGGAAAACATAATGCTTCTTATCATTAAAATGTACACAGTTTTGAAGAAAATTATCTCTCTCAAAACATTTGAAGACATTCCTCATGTCTTCTGAGGTTTTAATTTCATTTTTCTGGGGACACTGACATTTCTATATGCCATTTGCAACTGCAGTTATATACACTGCATTAATTTCCAACACAGATCATGAGGTTTATGTCAATTTAACACAATATTTCATTCCTTAGTACTTGGTGTTGAGTGACAGAAATGGAATGATGCCTGATAGTGCTTGTAACACTTACTTTGAAAACATCTCTTATTAGTACTTATTCTCTAGAATCAGATTCTTTGCATATTTAAAATACTGGCACGATTTGCCTACGACATTCCAAATTTCCAGTACAGTAGTTAGTTCACACGGTATCAACATACGGAAGGCAGAAATACTGTCTGTATAAATTCTGGTTTGATGCACAAACTATTTGCATTTTTTTCCTGAGAAAGAAGACACATTTTTATTACCACCCTCCATTACCTGTATACTCCAGCGTATGCAAATCTGTGCTGGAGTTCTGCCATACTTCTTTGCCATCTGAATGATAGTAGGATGAGTTAGTGCTTCCCCTTTGGCCAAAGGACAGTAGCCTTCAAAGACAATATCTCTGCTCTTACAATAATCAACCAGCTCCTGAGGTCTTTGGAAAGGGTGGTATTCAACCTTAGATAAACAGAAATAAACTTCTAGTAAAAACCTTGAGAGTACATTTTGTAGAAAACATCACTGATAAATGAAAATATTTTTTCTTTCTTGTTTTAAAAATACAACATTGAGTGAAATCACTGTTTCTGGGAAGTAGATGTAAATTATCAGTTTTAGAAGACACATGAAGTATATAAATCAACAAGTATTTTGCCTGTAATTGGTACAGCAGTTTACTGTGTATTTTATGTTTCCCTCTGAAGCAAGGTGCAAGGAGCAGTTGTCTGCCTGACTTGCAGTTGGACTTGCACTGTTGTTCTGTTTTGTGTTTGAGAAATACTTGCCAATGCACAGTGGAAGTCACGGTCAGGTCATTTTTACTGGTGCTTTGAGACTACCTTCTCTTCCCCAAATCTACATCCTTTCCTGTTTCTTTACTAATCATCTTTGAGTTGCATAGGCAAGGGGAGGGGGCTGAGCAGGGACTGGGTCTGCAAGAGACCACTAGAACAATTTGCTTAGGATGAGGGCCTGACCTGTTGGCATGGATTATACATGGAAAATGCTGTATTCTGTGTGCACTGTCACCATAAGCTTATGCAGGGAAGCAGTCTTGCTGGGGAATGAAGTGTGAAGGGGACCCTTTGTAGGAAGGTAGGTCACAAATTGCCAGGAGCCAGTCAGAAGAGGAAAAGTAACAAGCTACAAAGACACAGTTGTTGGGAGCAAAAGGAAACAGAAGTTATTGGAAAGTAAGGATCTCAGAGGAGCCACGTATTCTGGCATGTAGTTAAACCCAAAAGAGAACCTCTGTAATATTCCTTAATATGTTATTTAAATAAGTATCTCACAGTTTACACATTCTAAGAAGTATACCTTCCTCTGCATTCAGATGAAAATGGGTAGTGTTTCCTTTTACAAAATACATAATCATGTTATATATTTTTGTGACTGGTCATCACCATTGTTCCAGGGATCGAACTCTTGCGCATTTTGAGGAAAAATACTCTTCTGAACAATTACCTCAACACATGGAATCTGGAAAATTTCTTCTGCCACAAAAAGGAAAAATGAACATTTCCTGTTTCTCATCTTTAGTACATGTTGTCTTTGCAGACAACAATAGTCAGAACAATAGGCTGGCAGTCATTCAACATGTGCTAAGAAAAAACTGTGCCCCTGGAAGGCTGGGCTGAGTCAGCCTAGAGCCGCTATGATCTAAATTACTAGGTGGACTCGGGAACAAGGTTCAAGCAGCAGACATCCATGTCTTCAACCTTTGATGTTTCTTGACCTTTGAGTACCCTTTGTATTTCATGTTTATACGTGTAAGAGCAGTGTTTAGGTCATATGATTATTCACTTGTTTGCACCTGAGCTGACTACAAAATATTCTCGTATTTACGCAAAACTATGAGGGGAGAAAGGAAAGAGCAAGCAGGGTGTACTACTAGACTGTTACAATAATAATAATAAGCAATTTTAGCAGACATTCTTTACACTAAGTATAGCAAATATTGTGGCTTAGAAAATATTAAATAAAGAAGGATGTATTTATGATCAAATGCTGAAAAATCTGCAGTGCCCTTATGGCATCATATGACTTATTTGGCATTTATTACTAACATAACTGTAAGCAGGATTTATCTGCTGGTCTAGTAAGATTCTAGGCAGCACAGTTCCAGGCTATACCAGACATGTTTAAAGCAAGAGCAGCATGCTGAGACGTCCCCTGCCTCCTTCACAAGCCGAATACACAGCAACAACTACTTCCCACCTGGGAAGATTACACTTTCTGCCTTTCACTGAACCAGGAGTCTCCCAAATTTTGTGAAATGAGTTTTGGCACAAGCAGTTCTATGTTAGTAGCAAGCAAGTATTTTGCTTCTTAAATATATTACTAAAATAATCAAACGTATACAATAAAATAAGCACTTTTGAATTCTTTTTCCTGAAAACATTCTGGAAGGTCCTAGTAGCACCTGAATGCAAGGGACCAGGATCCTGAGCTACAAGAGGCATAAGGTGAGTGGCCAGCATGTGCTTCCCCTCAAAGTAATAATTCCTACTTCCTGCCTTGCCCCACCCTTGCCATTTTAGTCACCAAGCTTTTCTGAGGCGAGGGCTGTCCATCACATGGTGGTAGAGGAAGATCTTGATCTTTTCTGGCACTCTACCCTGAGTGATTTCTGTGTAAAAACTGGCATTTTTTTAAATAAAACAGTTTGCAGTTCACATTACAGAACTTTTCACAGCTGCTACTTGGTCAGGGGGCCCACAGGGGATCTCTAGCTGAAGTGCTGTTTTTTTCAAGTCATAGCAAAATGGGGAAAAGCTGAGTCTAATAACAATCCTGACACATGGCCCTAGAAAGTCATACCTTGGATGATGGTACACAAAAGCCTTACTCTTTCCACCCTGCTGTGGATCCTTTTCACCTGGTAAGGTTTCCCTGCATCTGGAATCCAGTAATTTTCTCAATGGGAATGCTGAGTCTTACAATTATTTCTCTTTATAAAACTGAAATACAAGCCTATAAATATTTTCTCTATAGAGGAGCAGTTCAGGTGAGTTTATGTACAAAGGTGTTGTTTGCTAATGCCTTAAATACATTTCTACCTTGTACAAATTTACACAATAGAGCTCAATATTAATGGCAATATCAATGACATTGCTAAATCTCTCTGAAGTATTACACAGTAATAAGCACCTCTCTAAGAGTGAAAAAAATATGATGAGCATTTCTACAGGGAATTCAGAGAGGGACAGTTTATATTTGCTTTCAGTGTATCACTTTATTAAATGAAACATATATATTAATTAAATACTTACAAAATGTATTTTTTCCCCTAATGAGTGACAGGCCCAGGAGCCTTCAAAGAGACTTCAAAGATTTCTTTGAGCATAAATCCAAACTTACTACTGCCAAGTCAATTACAAACTCTGGAACACAAACCTGAAACTTGTAGGTTATAAGATTCATTCTATATGATAAAGCATTTTCCATTATTTCACACAGTGTTTAGCAGTACTTTTAATAATATATTGTAATTTTAAAAGGTGCTTGCTTAGTAATAAATACCTTAATAATACTATCTTCTTGAAAAGACAGGCCTTTCCTACTTCTTCAAAAGCCATAATGATATCAGGGTTTTTTTTCCAGGAACTGAGAAGAAAGCAGTACTTAACACTTGGTTTGTAAAACAGACGTGTTGCTTACTTCTCCTGCCTTCCTACTTCCTCCTCTTTACAGAAAAAACAACTTTCAATTTTAGCATCATAAGAACTGTTGGAATTGTAAGAAGAACACCCAAAATTCTAAAAGGGAAGTGATTTTCTTCCAGTTGCTTTTTTACATATTTAGACTTTGTATACAGTGATTATTTGCAAATGTTTTGTATTTAGAAATAAGTCCATTGAAAGAGCACACTATTTAATGCATAAATATAGCAAAAAATTTGTGTTATAAACTGTGGAAAGTGAAATAGGAACTCAATACAGCATTTCCAGTTCCAATTTGAATTTAGGAATTCATTAGTTATTTGATGGTGCTTAAGTAATCTCACCATCAGACACAATAACTCTCCAACACTAAGCAAGAAACAGAATAAATACTCTGAGGATAACCTGAAGTATGGTTTATAAGATTTCTATAAATCTAAAAGGTGTAAATTAATGCTATAACAAAACTGTTCAAAGTGGAGCACTTTGCAATGGCATGGGTATTTCGTTGGTGGTTGTTGTATTAAAATCAGAACATTGCTGTGCATCACCTTAAAGAAATAACTCTCCCACCCCCCAGTATCACCACCACCTCAACTCTGTCTCCTTTTTTTCAGCCACAGAAAAAGAATTCTGTCAAACAGGACCAAGAAACAACTTGTCTCCATGAATACTACTGACACAGCAAGACTGGTAACATTTGGACATTGTGAGTAAGAGGAAATTTCAAAACAAATTCAAGAATACACTTTTTTTCTTTGCAGTGATTTAGTAGGACACAACAACTCCTCTCATTTAAAAAGCAGTAACAGCTTGTGCCAAATTCTAGCAAGACTTTGAACCTTGGAAAACTCACTGATTCTTAAAGTCATCAGCCTGCCCATCTTAACACATATTTCAATGGCTAATTTTGAGTAACTGAATTTAACTATTTTATATGAGTTTATGCTAATTTAACATTACTCACAATTGCCCCTTAGTAACCTTTCGTCTAGTGGACAGCTAAAATCAGAGCTGCTTGGTTCTGACGGTCACACTGAGCAACCTTTGTATGGCTGTTAAAGACATTAAACCACAAACAGCTGCCAGAAATCCTGACCACCTGTACAAAGGGAAAAAGCATGTGCCTGTACTCCATCCATTCCAGTTCCCACGTCCATGTTAGCACAAGCACACTTTCTCTGGCAGGAGATGGTAGGAATGGGAGCATGAACTTCCAGCACAGCTGGAGGCAGAAACCTGCAACAAGGGAAGAGTTGTCAAGTGCCCTGGCAGTGTGCCGGTATGTAGGTGGCCGTTTTATATCTGCCTAGGGCAGCAAAAAAAATTTTGCCAGGGCTGTCACAGCACCTGCCTAGACAAGGAGTTCACTGAATTTAATGTGATCTTGAAATAGGAAATAAAGGGGGGAGCAAGGGAAACAGCAGCCTTGCACGGATATGTAATTACCTGAGGCTTTCGGTGTTGCTTAGAGGAAGTACAAAAGCATTTGAACACAGGCTTTCCAAAATCCTGCTCTCTCTAGAGATGCTATATGTTCAGTGCTCCTCGAATTTTATTTCTTGACTGTTTTATCATCAAAAACTGCCACAGGGATCATTTGTTTGTGTTGTAAAACCAGACACAAACAAGTAGCCTGGGAGAAACTGGGGTGGAGAATAGGAGGAAGGACTGCCCTCCCCTTCAGGTCATCTTCCTGAATGGTTTTCAGTATGTACATACTAAAAAAAGGAGAAATTGTATGACTAAAGCTAGTTTGGGTGTAGCCTTTCAGACACAGGGGTGCGGAGGTTCACCAAAAAAACAAAGTAAAAACCCAAACTCAGATACTTTAAATACATTTATCCACTCACCTGATTAACATGTGGAGTAATGACACAGTCTTCCTTTAGTTGCTCAAGATGGCTGATAAGAAAGTTGCTTACGCCAATTGATTTACACAAACCTAATGAAAAACAGAACAAGAAAAAGTTTTGGGACAATCTTAACTGTTTGGGAGGATGATTTGAAAAATATCACTTTCAAGAGACAAAATGATTGCTCGCATCATTTCTGCAGAGCAAAATACTGCAAAGAAACACAGAAAAACAGCACCAAAATCTAGTTTGACAGTATTATCTGAAAGTATGGTTCTGTCACAGTCACATTAGGAAATCTAAACACACTGGAAACTCCCCAGTGTATAAAAACTCCAGGCTAAATTCTGGGAAAGGCTGATGTAGTGTAAGCAAAGAACAATCGGACTCCACCAGAATGAAAAGAAGGAAATGGTGTTCCGAGCAGCTTGCCAAAACTAAAGAAAAGTGGAACATTTGCTGAAGACTAATAAGGTGCGAGCAATACAACACAAGGACACGCAGCCCAAATGAACTATGTCACATTGCTTATACTTCTACTGGATCACTGCGAGACGTTACGTAAAACTCGGTGTAAAATCTTCATTAAATGAGCAGTGTCTAACAAGAACCACGAAGCTTAAAATGTAGCTAGATTTCTCAGCTCCTGTTGACATGCAAATAAAATTAAATGGGACCTGGGTGACGTGAAGGTTATTTTTTAAAATAAGCCTTAAGTGTGCATGCATGTGTATAAATTAGGAGCTGACAGACTTGAAATCAGATGTCTTTCTTCAAACCTCAGATATAATAAAGGACAACTCCCAGTCTTGGCCTGCCACATACACACCTCAACCCTGACTTGTTTGGCACAGTCTGGTCCTTATTCTGCGCTGGTAGGGAAGCTAGGCTAGTAGGAGTCTCCTTGGGCTGTGGATTGTGTGGACCACAACTCAGACTAACTTCTTCAGTAGGTGAACTTTGTCTGGATTGACTTGATCTGCATTTCAGTCTGTAATTCTACAGATGGCAAGCCTGTCTCAAGGTGTGTGAACACAGAACTCTGATTACTGTTGTTAATCCAGTAGTTATTTGAGCTGGCCAATTCTATAAAATGTATAGGCATGTGTGCATCTATACACAAAGAAAGAAATTAAATTTCTCTAGTCCTCTCGGAAATTCTGTAAGTGAAACTACAGTTTACTGCTAACTCTTATAAAGAGATTGTTAAGGCCCTGAAAAAAAAAATCAGCTTTCATATACTTTAGCAGCACAAGCAGATAACCTGCACAGTAGCAAAACCTGTTATAACATATACTATCACTTTTTAATGTGGCTTCTTTTGTAGAATACCAAAAGAAGAAAAATACATTAGCAACTAAAGTGCTAGATATCTTTCCCTTACAAAAATTATCATTGTTCAAGATGTATAACATAATTAGGTTAAAATCTGCACTATAGTCATTTGCATAATTTGTATGTAATCTGCCAGAAGGAGCAAAACCTTAGCTTTTGACAAACAACCCTTGAGTGTCAACACTAATAAATCATTATGCCACAGCAGTTAGAAAAACATGGTTTTAACACAATGGTGAACCAAAATATTATACACTATTGTTGAAAGCTAAGGAGTTACAAAACCCATGTCATTATTGCCCTTGAAGAACAAAGCTTTCATTTCAGGCTGAAATAAAACAAAATTCAATCACAGACAATGAATATGAAAGGGCTTATCAAACCTGTACATTTGCACAGAAAGCTTCCATTCTTTTCCCCCTACAGTATGCTCTAAGATGTTTTGCTTCTAGCATATTTCTCATAGGAGACTTCGAAGTCTGTTCCATCGAGTTAGATTTCTCAACAAGAAATTTCAGGTTACTTATGTTTTGTGTTAAAAGCCATCTGAGCCATTCCTGCTAAAATCAGTATTACAGCATTCATGTGTTTACAGTGATGTCGCACAAAGCTGAATTCAAAACTGCCAAGAAAGTAAACATTTTCACAGAAAACAGAGAAACAATAATTAGAATTTCAATGTTTTTGCAGAACCAGCATTTTCTTAAAACTTTTTTTTTAGGGTAATATGCTTAAAACATTTGACTGTCATTAAATACTCATATTTAGTTTTGGTAAAGTTAGAACCCTTTGTTTAAATGCCATTGTTTTGGTTTTAGTTATAGTCTAATACATGAAAGTTAAAGTGTTTTGACTTTTGCATTAAATTACAATATAAAATAATTAAAACAATTGCACAGGGTAACTGTATTAAAAAAAAACTTATTTTAATGCATGGTGGAAACATGAATTCAAAATACTGGAATTTTCTGAAAAATAGAGCTTAAATTTCAACAATCAATCAATCTCGACTCTATAGAGAATTGCTTCCGTTTGCCTGAAGGAAGATTAACACAGTTGCTCAGCATTGTCCAAATCTCGGAACGACTGTCTTAAAGCAGAAGATTACACAGAATTATTTCCACATTTACATCTGCTGGATTAATTCCTAAGAATGAAGATTAAAAAAAAGATAGACAAGAAAATGAAGGTCTGGTTCACTGCTGGGGCTTATCTGACAGACCAACACTTGTGACTACGTGTATCAAACAAGATCCATGAAATCACATCAATAGTAGAAATAAAAAAACTACATATTGAGAAACTTGTGTAAAACTGTCCCAACTTACTGCCTTGAAATAACCTGGAGGGTGTGGGGGGTGCACATTTCCTGACAGAGCTCAAACAGGTAAGTTCCCCGGTTTCTGCCATGGGTCTCAAAACTACTAGAATGCTCTTGAGGAGGGGGGCAGGCATTTGGGTTTTTTTAATACCTGTTTAGTATGCTTAAAAATCTCATTTCAGACAATTCAGGCACAATTCATGTCTTAGCTGTTATGACAGCATGTGGTGTTTAAGTCTATAGTTCTTTTTAACTTATTCAGTTTAACTAGTCCTGGAGTTCAGGCTTTCCGAGATAAAAGTTTGCAATGTGCTAGCTACAATCCCTCTAGAAAGTACCCTTAAAATATACATTTATCCTGACTTATTTACAAAGTCACAGAGCTTTGACTCAGGGAGAGAAAGCATCCTCCTTATCTGCTTGAGGAAATGAGTGGTCTGGCCCCTACAAAGCAGATTTTGAGAAAGTGCCAGGTGCAATAAACAAAGAGTTTGCAATTCCCCATTAGCTCTGAGGCTTTGTCCTACTCCTTGCAACTCTGACTTCATAGGCTTGAAGAAAAACTTGGCAATGCTGCTTCTTTTATGCATGCTAAAAACTGACTGACCACAATGGTGGAACAGAAAATTTCATCCAGCTTTGAAAACCTATCATGAAATTCCGCAAGACACATCAGAAAACATATTGGCAGGATAATGATTGAATATAATGGGAAAAAAGTAAGGATCTTTTCTATTCTACACAAAAAAATCTTGGCCTCCACCCCACTGGTAATTTCACCACACTGTATTTCTCCCAGATGCTGTGAAGCACTGGTTTGCAATATAGCTGCATACTAAGCCTAAAGTATTTTTTATGGCAATCTAGAGAATGATTGGGTATTTTTTCCTTTAATCTGTATAATACCAAATTATACAAAGTTTGACAGTCACTGTTACTCCTCTAACAAAAAAGCATAAGTTTAGTGTCTTGGCACCACAGCGCTGTTTTAGTACAATAGTGAGCCTTATCTTTCTCCAGCACTACTACAGACTTTTATCAGACTTCTAAATACCCTCTGAAATATGAAATGTACAAAGTTCAGATCAAAAAGGGTTTTTAAATTACAAAACTGGATACCAGGTTTGTGGAGCCCGTTTTCCTCCCCCTCCCTGCTGCTCTACATGAGTCAGAGCAAGGAAGAATTCCCACGTCCAGCGAACAGTGCCCATTCTGTTTTATCTTCTATTCAGGCCACAGAATAAAAACACAAATGGATCTACTTTTCACAAAAGGTCAACAACAGTAACTGTAACTTTATTAACGAAGGTTACACAGGTTAGAAAGGTCCACATTCTCTCTGATATGCATGCTAAGAACTTCTCTGGGGCTAAATCACATTACCCATAGAAACCATACAAGATTTGATTTCAGCACAATTTCCTAAATCAGAGCTGTGGGCTGAGTGTGCCCCACATGCAGACTGAAAACCAAAGCCTTGATAAATAAAGCAGACTATGCTTAGACACAATCCATAAGGAATTAACTTCTAAACCTATGAAGTAACACTTATTCCCATTTCACAGGCTAAAACACACAGACTCCAAAAGGCGAAGTGTCCTGTCTGAGACACAGGAAGACTGTGGCAAAACTGAAAACACAGAAGCCATACCTCCTCCCCCAAAGGATTTCTTTTTAGCCCATTCATTGCCACAGTATATGTGCTTATCTGTCTTAAAATTACTTTTCTGCTTCTACAATTCTATGATCATTACTCCTGCTATAGATCATCTGTGAACCATGGTAGACTGTGAGGACAACAGGAGAGGAGGTATGAATAGAAGTCAAATTATCAATTTCTGTGACTGAAAACTCATTACAAACATTCAGTGTACACAACTGTTAAATGGCTAACTCAATAGGATAATGCAGCAATACTGGCTTAATATATGCTGCCTCTGACCCTGGCTGCTCATTCTGACTACTTCAATGCAACACTATCTTAGTTACATTGACATATTTTTATTCTACAGTTACATTAAAAACCAGAACAGATTAAAAAAATCCACCAAAAAGAATTCAGTTTTGAAAAGAACCAGACAAACAGGAATTCTTACAGATTTTCCATTCTCTTACTCCAGTTTAAGCATGTAAAATCATGCTGTGAAGAGAACATAGGTTTAACAAGAGGCTGAAAAGACATTTTTATATCTACAACATTCTGCAATTGCTCATAAACATCTGGGTAATCAAAACTGAAAAAGCAACATGGTACAGAATGAATCCCATTATACCTTAAGCAAATATTACCACCACACACTATGGTGTGAAAAATGTGATCAAAATTATCAGCAACTCAGCCACCTACCTACAGGCTGTTGGATTATGTAGCACTTTGGAAGCATTACAGAGAGCACATAGTTAGATTCTAAACAGTGTGTCCCCTCTGTAACT